GCAGAAAGCTGCAGTTGCAGTGGCAGTAGTGGTAGCAGTAGCAATAAAAGCAATAACAGTAACAGCAGCAGCAAGTGCAACAACAGTATCAGTAACACCAGCATAAGTGAATATACGGATGGCACTGATGAAGATGAGAAGGAGAAAGAAAATTCAGTAAAAATCAGTAACAAACAGTGGTAGTTGTAATCATTATCAAAGGCTGTAGCCGCTTACCCTGACTACTCAAATTCCGATAGAAAATCTTCAACTGCAAGATGCACTGCGTAGATAGCCTGTCAATAGTTAAATATTGCAGTCAGAAATGCTAGTCACAGGGCAAATTGTAACCGAACCTACTGCTTATATACTGCCAAATAAGACAAAATACACCGCTGAAGAAAGAAACTTGAAAGAGTTATGAAACGAGGTTGATACGTTTCAGAGTGAAAGCGAGCTATTCACGTACGGTTTTTCCAACAAATAAAGCACAATTGGCTTGTCTCTATATCGCTGCAGATATTGGGACTTGGAAGTGTAGGATATAATTGCCTTGTCTCTGTTCCTGAATATGACCGCCCTTAAACATTTTGTCAAACTTTGTTACATAAACTTAATGATTGTTCACATAGGCCTACAGCTGTAGCATGGAAACTTCTAAAAGTGCTTGGGAAAATCTGTGAAACATCTACGGCGTTCTAAAAATAAAATTATGATCAAATTCAGGATTGAAAAAAATGAGGGAAGGGAGGGGGTCGAATTTTTTTTCGCATTTGGTTTCAGGTCAAAACTGCCGACCGCTTTGAAGCGGAGCAGAGCCAAGAGGTTTGTTGTCACGGCTGGGTAGTCAGCCCAGGTAGATCTACCTGCTTTCTCCCCCTGGGAGGTCAGACCTGTTCTTCCCACATACCCACGTCTCCCCACTCTGTACCCAAAGTCACATGACAGTGTCAACTATGTGGACAGCAAAGAGGTTATAGAGTGGACCCTGTTATCGGAAGGCTGGAGGACACGAAAAACTTTCAAATGGTCACATTTATAGCATTGTTATCCCACCCCTACCCCTCTCGAACTCTCTCAGTCCGTCTTGTAATTCCTGTCTGCTTTTCTGTCTATTTGTCCCTATTTCTGTTTCTGTTTCTGTCGCTCTGTCTCTGTCTGTATGTCTCTGTCTCTGTCTCTGTTTCTCTCTCTCTCTGTCTCTGTCTCTGTCTCTTTCTCTCTCTCTCCCTCTCTTTCTCTCTCATTCTCTCTCTCTCTCTCTTTCTCTCTCTCTCTCTCTCTCATTGCGTCTTGCTCTCTCTGTCTCTGTCTCTGTCTCTCTCTCTCTCTCTCTCTCTCTCTCTCTCTCTCTCTCTCTCTCTCTCTCTTTCCCTCTCTTATAATAATAATAATAATAATGATAATAATAATAATAATAATAATAATAATAATGATAATAATAATAATAATAATAATAGCTTTGTTATCAGTTGTTTTTATTATTATACGGCATAATATTATACATGTACACACACAAAACATACATCCCCGAGATGTATATATACAGTGGCGTACAAAAGAAACTTGAAAATGTAATCAGCCAATCGTCGTGTTAAAACTTTGCACCACCCACTCATTCAGCATACCAATTTAAAGCTTAATAATTTCTGCATGATCAGAAACATTAATTTTCATCAATGTTGAGAGACTCTTGAAACATAGTCACTTAAAACTGACCTAAAAAAATCAGGCATTGCAAAATTTCTGCGAAATCAAAGAAACTTAAAATTTTTCTGCGCACGGGTATTGGGGAGCATCAGTATTGATAGAATGGACATACATTGCATATCAAATGAATAGGGAGTTTTGTTTCCGTTGTAAACAATATTTTATTTCTATAGTTTCAAACAAAAATCTGAAAATAGAGCAATCACAAATACTACACAACACTCGGACTCAACATTAAAAGTGCCTATTGTTATTTGGCTTAGGAGCCATTGGTCTTGTGTAGGACACGAACTCTTTGAGCATCGACTCTATTAAATTTTGGACATAATTATCTGTCATTAATTTTCATTATAGATGTCACAGATAGTTACAAACAAAGGATCTAAATTTGGAGCAAAGTCGATTTTCTTCAGCTGTTGTTTCATGGGGCTTCACGTACCGCGCAGGATTTGTATCGGGACTACTTACTGGTGACCACTTTGTCGTTGGTATGATTTGGTTTTCCAAGGATTGCAAGTGGTACTGGTCCTGTGAGAAAGTGCTTTGCCATGTACGGAGACGCCTACTTGAATGACACCAGAATGAAAATAAGGATAAGACTTGACGTTCCAGCACTTGCGTGATGTAGTTCAATAAAATATGACATCCGGCGATTCTCACGAGGACGGTTTTGTGTATTCCACCCACGACCACCCAAAACCATGGTGGTTTCGTGGCCTCGGCTCCTAACAGAAGATGTTTTTTGTCCAAAATCTAACTAGTACAGTCCCTGTACAAAAAATGATTCGTGCTCTACACGAAACCAATAGCTACTAAACAAAATCAAAAACGTACTAATTAGCACATATAATGTTATGTCCAGGTTTTGCATGGTATTGGTGATTACTCTGTTTTCTAATGTGTTTGAAAATATCACCAGAAGATGCTGCTCATTGTAGAGACAATTATACTCTCTTTTCTTTTGGTATTCAATACATGTCCATTCCACCAATGTTGATGCATCTCAATATACGAGTACGTGCGAACACACCATAAAGTTTCTATAATTTCGCACACTTTTGCCAATGCTGATTTTTTAAAGTTCAGCCTCTTAACATATTATGAAATATTAATGTGTCAGATGATGCAGAATTCATTTAGCTTTGAATTGATATGATGCATGAGTGGGTAGTGAAAGGCTTTAACACGATAATTGGGTGATTGTATTGTCAAGTTTCTTTTGGACACCACTGTATATCTGTCTGCCCCGGTCAATATCAGTCATAAGACGCGATGTGCTATCATAAGGTATGAGGTTCCAAAGGCAAAAATGTGACATTCTAT